AAAACAACGATCTATGCGAGCTGCAAACGGAAACAAATGAAACAAAGATCCTACCGGATAATAAATTTTTGTTTTGACATCGTTTTCCGAATTAATCCCGAATCCATAAATTCTCGTTCGAGCTTCTGTTACTCTTCCGTTCGTTCTCTGGTAGCTTTTTTCTTACACGAGTCTGAAAGCTTTGTTTCTAAAATTGATTTTGCGTACACTTTCAACCCTCGTGCAATAAGAAATCTGTTTCTTCAAATTGGACAATAATGAATAGAAAACTGAGCACAAAATACTTGCAGTAAGACAAATATTATTTACTATGGAGGAGTAAAATATTCGCGATTGTACCAAGTTATGTAGAAATTATTAAATGACGAGGAAGCTCGAGGAGGCTAAATCGGAAACAGTGCATCCACTTGGATATTATTTGAACAGAACTATTTCCATATCTCAAGCACGGTAATCTCCAATTACATGTATGGATAATTGAGAGTCAGTATATCAGCGTCTATGTAACAGAGAGTAGAGTATAATCGGGGCTGGAGCTTATAACAAATCGAGATATTCTTGGTACAAGTACACGTACATTATTGCAACGATACTACGCCGCGCGTTTATAAATCTGGGTTGAGTCGTTAAAGCCTCGTCGAAACGAGACGCCGATTTCGATACTTGATACGTCATAAATGACGTACACGCGTCATTTGAAGCCAAATATATTATGCAAGCACCGTGGGACAGGTACTACTTACGCATCCTTCGTTTAAACGCGGAAGCTCCTACGTACACAAACACGCGTGAGCATTTTTAATACTCGGAACTCGGACTATCGTTTTACCGCGATGTAAACGAAACTCGTGGAAGAATAAGAGCGATCGAATTGTAGTTGGGAGTTTTAAAAACTTCGTGTACGTTTAAATACCGCTAAAGTCTTTAATATATTCGAGTTTGAGAAAAATTCGAAATTTTCTTCCATCCGACGCGGAACGAGCTATCTGCAATCTGGTCACGATTCCTCTTTATCTCGAAATGCCACGGTCGTCGTGGCAACCCTCCTACTCCGACGCCATTGCATCCCTATACTTCCAACCCTCTGAAAACCGCTGACGAGTCGTATACATTTCCCGCGCTTTTCTATACGTAATTTCTATGGCTTCTGACAATTATGGAACGACTCCTCCGAAACAATCGCGAAAATCAGACGGGGACACTGAACATTTTCGTGAAATTCGATCGAACGGTCCCGACCGACGGTTTGAGGTTAGGGGATTATAGAGCGTGTACTACGTACCGCGAGGATTTAGGAAAAGAGGCGAGAATTGGATGAAAAATTTGGCAAACGCGTAGATGGATAGTGACACTGAGAGCGTGTCAGACGATTTCGAGTATTTTGAGGCACTCGTCGAACGTGAAATTGTTGAACAATGTTTGAGCATGGAATCGACACGTGCTGCGTTTAACGAGGAATTAAACGCTTTGTTTGCTGAGAAAACAAATCAATATCAGCGGATACGAATCTATGTTTTTATCGCGTCGTACGACGCAGACGAACGAGTAAATAGAACATTATTGGTCTTAAAAATCGAATTCACCGCCGAGTGGCATTTATACGATAAAAAAAAAAAGCGAGCAAATTTGACGAACAATGCTTTACACTACGCGTTTAAAATTCGTTCGAACTGCTGAAAAAGAAACGATCGGTCGGCGAACCTTGATCGATAAATACAAAAATATTTTGTATTCAGTATTTATTCGAAGAACATATTTCATTATGATAATAGATTTGAATAATAAGTTAAGAGTAACGAAGTAAATTCAGAGAATGAATACATAAAAATGATAGATACGTACATAACCTATACACCGTCCGAGAATCAACGTAACACGAGGAAGTATTCATTTCCACACGGTCCTCGGAAAGCTAGCGAGACTCAGGAAACGTCCAACTTGTTCCTTCGATCCGTATTCGTGTACGCCGAGCAGAACTTCGTAGTTATCGCAGTGTCATCGAGAGTTATCGCGATAGAAAGTACTTTCGTCGTTTGTTTAAGCACAAATCATTATTTCGTCGAGCAACAATCACACTGACACAGCCATTAAACGCGGCTTATAACCATTGGTGGCATCGTTAAACACACAACCATAAAACGAAAAATATTACTATTCCATAAAGGCGAACGCAAATGTCCCCAAATTGACAATGAACTGAACGTAGGAACGGAATCCGACGTTCGTCCAGTTCAGGCAAGCTAACGGTAATTATACCAACCGTGGGTCAGGCCGGAATTATCGCCTCGTCCTTAAATCACCGTCATTTTATATCGTGCCCCATATTCTACAAAAATCCAGTGAAACCTTGTCCCTCCGCAGGTCAGGTAGATCCGTGGAAGCGAAAACAAAAGGAACCGGACAGTTTCCATTGTGTCTAATCCTCTGGTGCATTTTTCCCGCTCGACAAAGGCGACGCGGAAAATATCTTGCGAACGCGACGCTTTAAAAACACGCTCGGATCTAGGGAATTTCCGAACCGATCTACGTTCGAACGAACCAACGGTCGCAACGATTCGGGAAAATCAGTGGTGTCACGCTGAAATCCGCGTATGTAAATTGACCCGGTGACGTTTTCGACTCTCGGCGATATATTTCACTCGCGTAATCCGGGGTTATCTTACGATTCTAGTTAACTTTATTCTGTTTACGTGCGCGGGCAATTTATAGCGTGTTCCGGTCGACTCGTAATTTTCCTCGACTTCTCTATTTTAGCGGTCGGCTTTCGGTGCTGCGTTACTGCGATTGCGAGAATCAGTCGGAGATTAAACAGTACACCGTGTGACACGCAAGACCCACGAACCTCTGACACATAGCGTGTTTCTCGTTTGACCTTATCCGGTAAACAAAGAAATTCCCCCTACCGACCGTCGTATCCCCGACAAGCTTTATTTCTTTCCCGCTGAATTCGAAAGAGGACGCGATGACCTATCGAGGTAAGTAACGAACGCGTCTCGACGCGAACGTAGATATTTTTTTCCCAACCATCGGACCATGTCCTTGACGACAGAATCGACTGTTTTCGTTCCAACAAGGAAAGTCTACGAACGCTGGATAAATTCTTTTTGAACGGAACCGAGAACAAATTGTCGAAAGCAATGAATATCAGCACGTTCATTACTGATACAATTTTTTGAGGTTATGAATTTCGATCGTATGTCTTATTCGCTGGAAACGTAAAAGGACATTTCAGTCTGAACTTTGTACTTAAGAATTTGAGCTCTTCGCGACGGTATTTTTCTATCTAACGTAAATCTTGAACCTTTCCTTGCAGCGGTCCCGAGGGAACATTTTTGTCAGAAGCGTACGCTGATTCCAAGCTCGCTTATTTAGAAATATAACCATTTGCGAGACTCGAGGCGAGTTACGAGCAAGCTGTGCTCGGAAAGATGTGGCAATTGAATTGGTTTAAGGAGCTCGTTTGATTAACGGCAATAGGGGGACGTGTAATTTTAGTATCCATTCGTTGGGCCGAGAACCACCGGACTCTTCCGTGGTCGGGAAAAAAAAAAAACGAGGCGGACCAGCGTTTAAAACACTGTATTAGTGGTGGGTGCCCTTGACAACGGGAAGCAAACTCTTCGCGCGTAAACAGAAACTCCAGTGCCAGCGGTATTTGCGAAAGAATTAACCTCGGCAAAACGCGAGACCGTGTTTACCCAAACGCGGGCTGACCGTGCAGAGATTTAAATAAAATAAGGAAAAGTAGTGCTCGATATGAAGCGGGTACGCGTTAACCCGTTAATGTAACGAATTATTTCCTTTTAATGACTCTGGATGTGGTCGTAACGAAACAATGTTTTTTCGCAGGTACTTGGATGGATTTTAGCTACTTAAAAATAGATTAAATCTTGTTTCAACGTGCTCGGTGTGGTAATTGCCAAATTATTACAGCTTATATACCGTAAAATATCGACGTAACGGACGATGAAAAATCTCATGTTTCTATAATTGCAGTGTACGTAAATGGAATTTTTCGCGTATCGCAAACCAGTCGGGAACTAATGAGGCGGAACGAGTGCCCATAATTCTGCGGTGACGCTGCGGAATTCTTCGGAATCGAATACGAAGGTAATTTGTCGAATACCGAGAGTCGGAATTATCGATACCGTTCCGAAATCATCTCGAACCGCGAAACACGAAAAAGCACTAAAACTAACATTTACTCTATAACATTCTACAATTGATATACTTATTAATTTCTCGAAACTTTTGTGTAAATAGGGACCTGCCTGTTTCAAACGGGAATTAAACGTATCTAGAAATAAAACTTAATGGTGCACAGCGTGCTACTTAATGGTACATAAATCAAGGAAACAACTTCGCGCGACAATACGTCATCCTATTCGCAGCACTGTGCAAGAAACTATAGCGTGTATGCACACGGCAAAAAGAGTTAGGGTGGTGTAGCTAAGGGTGTGGAGGTGGGGGACAAAGATTTATACCACTGCTTATCGAACTCACAAATTACTCGGTCCGAGAAAAAGGCAACGATTTATGCTCACGCCAAGAAGGAAAGTGCGTTTACTCTCTAGCGAATCCGTACGAGCTCTCGTTTAACGCGCAGCGAACGTGGAAAGTTTCGTTAATTGGTCGGGCGTCCTTTCCAGGGATAAAATTGTTTAGAAAATTTCTCGGGCTCGCGTGTTTCGAACTACAAGGTTATTCGACGGATAAACATGTGCTTCCCGCAAAGATTATCAGTGATTTGATGTATCGAAAAATTATTTTCCAAGAGAGAGCTGATTACGTACTTTCTACAATGAAGAATAGATCCGAGTGATTTCTCGTATCTTGACGGCATTATCGATGTATCGATGGATGATAGATAATTGTTGGTGGCATCCGTAGGTGACACCTGACACGTCGCTTTTTATTGCGCCAATTTTTTCCCGGAGTTGTCCGGTCGTAGATGTGACTGGGGGTAAACAAACGATACCGTCGAGCATGCAATTACTCACCAGACGACGCCGAAGGCACCGTATCCGATGGGTCTGTCGGGCTGAACGGGATCCTGGGCTGGCGGCGGTGGCGGGGGCGCAGGAGCGGCGGGATGGTAGTAGGTGGGGGGTGCCTGGGCCGCAGCCGCAGCCGCGGCCGCCGCAGCGAGGACCGCTTGCCCCGGGTGGGCCCCCGTTGTCCCGCCGCCGCCTGTCGCCCCCGCCCCACCCCCCTGCATCAGGGACATAGACACGCTCATGGACACCCGCGAGTGCCGGCTGGGCCCAACTACTGCCATCAAAGCTCTCCTCTCTCCCTACGGGCCACCCTCCTCAACCCTTTCCCGGTTCACCGCCACCGCCACCGCCAAGGCCCCCGCTGCTTCAGGGAACCCGGGACACGCCTCCTCTTCCCGCTGCTGCTTTCCGTTTCTATTTTTTTCGATCACTCTTTCACCTTTCGCGGGCTTCACTTCGATCTCGTTATCGTCACCCGTGGCGGTACACGCACGTGACACTGACACAAAACTTCGCCGAGGTCGTTCCCTCCTTTCTTCTTCACCGCTCGATCGACGAGAACATTTGTCCAGGACGAGCGAGCTTTATGATCATCGACGTTTATCGATGATCGTCGTACCGTGGCTTTCCCCGCAATCGCTGCTAACAGGCCTTGTAAATTCGTCGCACCGTATTATACGGAAAGTGTGGTCGTTCACAGGTCGAATGATGCGAATGTCGTAGTTGATTCCATGGTGAGGTTCGAGAGCACAAGGTGTATCCGTTGCGTCTTGGAGCGATTGGAGCGTAGAGTGTCGATTAAAATTCGGAGCGACCGAGTTCCGTGGGAATAATTAATCGCGTTTCGTGGTTACTCGTTCGACGCGAACTTTGCGTTTCGAATGACGCGCGCTTTTCGAGAACGGCGGGAAATAGTGGGACGAGGGGGTTTCGTGACACCACGCTCGAACACAGCAGCGACTGCGGTCGCGTCCTTTATCGCGACTACGACGAAAGCGATAATGCACGGAGGTTAACACTCGAGAAAGAGTCGATGTCCTCGTGCACGTTTTCTCGGTACCGTTGATGGTAGACTGGACGTTGCGTGTCAGACGTTTCTCTTCGGAAGCGTCGAGAAAGGGACGAGCACGGTCGTCGGTTCCTTGAATCGTTTAGTGCTCGATACTCTTATCGAGACAAAAGGTGTCCTCGATGCGCGAGTGTCACGAGCCACGGGCGCAGGTGCGTTGAAAATACGCGCCACGTTTTTTTTCGCGTAGTCACTGGATCCACGGGTGACGACGCTTAGGTTATGTTTGACACACGCACGCTATCCGTTCTCCCTCTTCCCGTCAGTTACGCTCAGCTGGCCTCATAACGTTGCGTTCGGAGGGACGGAGGTGGAAAGGGGGCGGTGCTTGTCCATAAGAAACACAGTAGCACGAAACAGAGAAAGGAACGAGAGAACACTGAAAGGCTCGGTCGAGTCCTCGATGGCCACAGCGATTCCGGCTTAGGAACCAAATTATTCGACGGTTCGCAAACGACCGATAAATTTCTCTCACTGTCCGGGTCCTGCGGCCGAGCCAGTCACTGCCACTTCGTACAGATCAAGCACGCACACACAAACACGAAAACACGCGCGCGCGCACACACAAGCGAGAGAGGGAGGGAAAGAGAAAAAAGGAGTCTCTCGCGTAGCCGCGATGGAGGGATCGTCGCGGTACGAACCAAACACACGTCTTATCGCAGCCAAGGCTTGCTGGCCACTAGCCGAGGGGGAAGGTGAACGCCGTCGACAGCGCCAGCTGCTCACAAAGAGGGTCACGTGACCTGCGTGGTGACTCAATGCGCAGCCAAACCAGCGATTCATGCGTCCTCTTCGCAAATATGAGTAGAAATGCTATCCAACGATTATTCTTTTGTGTTTATTAATTTCTTATTTAGTTTCAATAAAGAGTAGATTCTGTGAACGAACGAGGTAAAAGCAACTATTATAACTGTAAGTGTTGCATCGATAACATACCATGAAAAGATTTAAAAACTTACCAAGCCATTCTCAGCAATTTCTGAGATCAGAACTTATTTGAGTTTTTTAACTTGGTCTCCTTTGATCGTGAAATCAGCTGATTCGTTGAGGGTAATAAAGTAAACGTTTAGAAGAGCTTCGTACAGTCGAACGTGTATATTTACATGATTATTGTAGATCGTCATCGAACGTATTAAATTAAAAAATTCATCGCTCTTCTCTATTGCATCGCGACACATACACACTCATAAAAAATGCTACGAATAATACAAATTAGCCATATACGTGGCTTTTATCGTTGGTACGATTGTAAGAAAAAATCGATTGCGTTTGTTATATTTACGTACGATTGAATTTATGTACCAAATGAAAATAGTGGGATACGCTAATAAAAACAGGTCTCGGAAGAAAACTCGTCGGTCTTATCTTACAACCGTAACAGTTTTATTTGACATTTTATTGCATATATCCATGTTTGTATCAATATCCACATTTATCATATACATGTATCGTTTCGGTGATAAGTATACCCATAAAGGAGAGTATTATCTGTTTTTTTTTTTTTCTCGTTCAATCGTACACATATTTGCGAGGCATGTATTCACAATTAACATTACGAGTGTAGTAAATCCGATAAACTTCCGATCGAAAGCAACAAAGGCCAAAATTATTGTGTTCGTACCTTTTGTTTTCTGTACATAATGAAAAATAATTTTTCTTTCTTTCTAACAATCACATTGTGCACGTTAACGAACTAGTTGGTACGCGATTAAACCTATTTCTTTCTTACAATTTATTTCTATCCGTCTAGAAACGCCCGTTTATTACTCTTATTCGATATAGATACAATCTGTGAATACAGGCCTGAAAACTTACAATACGATCGTGTAGGAAAATATGAAAAGGTTTACATCTCAAATCATCTCTTCTCAGATTAAATAGGCTTCTATCTTTGGTCTGACCGAATTCCCTTCGACAATATTCTCCAGCCGTCTGCCGAAATTACGCGTGGACTGCGTGAAAAATAAATTCCACTCTAGTATTCGTTATTCCTCGCTCTATTGCAGATAACACAGTCCTTGTGCTCCCTTTTGTCGTTCGTATCCACTGGATTCATATAAAGACCACAGACACGATAAAATTACAAGAAATTCAGCTTGAAACACTCATGTAGGAGAACAATCATCACAACTCGTTCGATCCGAATAAACTGACATTAAAGTTTTCACGACAGGGGGGGCTTAAACATACGAGCGTCCAATGATACACTATATACGCATATATTTCCACACAGATCATAGTTCTCTTTTACACATCCTTTCATAAATTTGTACAAAATTTTGAGAAAATAGCTCTCCTTAAAATGGAGCCTCGACTTTCCAGTAATTCGAACATCTTTAGAAATTTGTGAATCTTGTTTTTTTTTTTGATTGTTCACTGGGCACCAATGAGCACGGTCATTTAACGTTCACTTCTTCTGTTTACTGTTGTTTTTAATTGTCTAACATTAACCCATGGTACTATGAACTAACAAGCGCGCAAGTATTAGTAATATTAAGCTCATGAGGTATAGTGTGCTTTACACCATAAGTAATCTATCCATTTGGCGAGAGAGTGTATTAAAATCAAAATTGAAAACGGAGCGAGACGAATAGGTTTGAATTAACGGACACGTACACCCGTAATTGTGCATGGGAAAAACGAAATCTTATCAAAATATCAACAAGTACAAAATGTTGGTTCGTCTTTTGCGATAACCGTAAATTAAAATTTAGTTGAACCAAACTTATTCGTGAGTATATCAACAATCTCTAGAGAAGGCAACGAAAGCGATAACTTTGCCACTTCGTACGTATAATATCTGATAAAACTTGTGCGAATCTTCGACTTGATTCGCAGCAGTTCTTTTTTTTAAATTTTTGTACAGATAATATATACGAATTATCAATTCGTTCAGTTCAAAGTCTGCGGTATCACTGAAAACACCTTTGCCGGACACCACTGAATCACTTTGTATAAATTTTCGTTAGGTATTATTGAGCGACGACACCATTCCGGCGTACCGTTAAATCGGTTATAAATTAAGAAAGCTCGAAGCCTGTGTTACTAGTGACAGCGTAACGCAGCTTCTCACGCAATGTACTTTTCTTTTGGTAATTTGGTAATTTAAGGAGATTGAAACACGTGGACGATGTGGGCAAACGATTCTGCGGATCCTTTTTACGAATCGTAAAGAACCCCCTTATAACACTACCTGATATAAAAAGAAAACAATTCGCGCACATATAAATCAATATAATAGACAGAGAATATGTGATTATTTAAATAACATGTACACTTTCATACCGATTGTATCGCCCGTGTCTTCGTCGTCGCCGACCTCTACGCAACGAATCGAGAACGGTGGCTCTAAGTGTGCAAAACCCAACAGTGGTGATTTTGAGCAGCTTGTAACAAACTATGGAGGAATATAAAGCATAAAGGCAATACTGATGATTATTCGATGGTAATATTGCTTTAGGAATAGCATACCTTTAGGAATAAGCCCCTTTCCTCTTCTGAAAAATCTTTCTCCAAAATATCCCACAACCAGCATACAACACGATGACTGTCGTGGAAACCACCGTAATATTGCGTGTGTTTCCGTAAATCCCGTAAATCCAACGGAACGTTATCGCCCGAAATTAATCTTTGCAACTGAAAAGAAAAAATATTTTAGACAATATTCTTTTACGTAACATTATAGTTCAAACGAACTCTCGTCTTACTTCTGGGGTTGAAAACAACGCCAACCACTCAAGATTAATGATAGAACGGAACCCCCTAATGAAAGCAGTCGTCTGATCTTTTATTTGCATATGCATTCTGAAGTGGGCCATTAGGTGTATATAATTAATTTTATTCTCGTTGGTGACCGGCACCGCTCGTCCTCCAGGAACCAACTCGTGTGTGACTAATTTACCTAAAACGTCTTCGTCAAGGGAGAAAGTTAATTCTAACTGTCTGACATCGCCCTTATAATGCTTTACAAGAGTGAGACTTCGGTATAAGTCCCGATCTAAAGACGCCAATTCGTCCAGCCAGCTGTACAATGCTCCTCCGGTTTGCCCAGAAAATTGGGAAACAAAGAAGGATGCGAAAGGTACATCTACAACGATACCCTAAAACACATGTAACGTGTAATATCGAGTGATCGAATCATCGAACAATCGATATTTTGATCACTCACTTCGTATACCGCTTTACCCAACATACGACCAACAAACTCAAATAGCTGCAAGTGATTATCTTGCATAGAGGATGTGGGAGATGGATAAAGTCGATTTTCACTAGTAGCTTTAAATAAATTTAAAGATGGATCGAAAACTTTCTTTATTGTCTCCTCTAAGAATTCTTTAAATACTCCATCTTGATCGATACCAGCTTCGGCTAGACCTTGCTCGTTCACGAAACGAACTCTGATCACACCTTTAAGCGCTTGGGAAGGTAACATGGCAAGTTGACGATATCCGTCCTCTACTATGCGTGTCCTACAAAATATTTACATCCTGATTTTTACATAACGTTTCCAACGAAAGTAAAAATTAGTGAAAGTACCTATGAACAACGATAAGCGTTGTCGGTGTACTATTGCAAGCACTTTCGGTCAAACCCAGTACTGCTTTCTCGTTAGCCACGTGCTTACGAAACAGTACCACGCGTTCCGAGTGAGGGATAACATGTGGCATTTTGGAAAGAAGAAGAGCCGCACCGCGTCTACCCTTCTCCAAGTCTGCAAGAAAACCCGACACTCGAACTTCCTGTTGTGCGAGCGTTTCAATTTTAAAATCGTGTCGCACAGACTGTAAAGTATTTAGGTCAAAGTACTTAACTTCGCCAACCAATGTCCGTCCGGACAAAACATCCGTCTACAATCCCGTCGATAGATTGCCATTAAAAGTGTGTGAAGAGAGGTGAACAAAGGATTATTAGGAACCGATTTCAGGTCTGGAACATCTAAAACTTCAGTACATAGCTAAACCGTTTATCATTCGTAAATGTATGCAGAAACAAGAAACAATTTTAAATGCGATGCAAATAAATATAACGGAAAGGTTGAAATACGCACCAAACAAGTTATTCAAAACTGCCTTGTACAAAAACTGATTTAAAAAATACGATATCGTTACAAAATCGCTAAGCTTGAACGGTTCTTGCTGTTCGTACATTTCCATATCATCTAAAATTCTAAAAAATAAACGATGGTAATAATATGACTGACACTGGCTGGATACTTGTTCAAATATGGTTTTATGAACTCACGTAACGTAGTGCGTCATACAATCGGAAAATAATATCAACATTTGAAATTCAGGTGCTGTACATTTTGTATTTGCAGCTAAATGGTCTAAAAATGCCTTCAAACCACAATGTGGACCCAATGTTCCCAAGAATAAATACATGTGGTATAAAATTTTATCTTGATAGCATAAACCTGTTACAACCAAATATACGTAGATACCAATATGTTCTAAAAATTATTTATATACGTATGTAGTATGTACATACCAGTTAGTATCTCCATCTTCATCTGTGTAAGTGTATGCAAAGCAATTTGATAAAGAGAACAAATTAAGGATATTCTAGTAGTTTCTGGGCTTCCCAATTTCCTGTAATTTTTAGTATTATTATTTCTATTTGTACGTGCTTCCAGAAACGCCCTTCGAAAAATGTTAGTACCAACAGATGTGCCCTGTTGCTCTAACGACGGAGGTATCTCTTTCTCTATAAGTTCTGTTAACGGTTGACCTGATAAAAAATTACCGATTTATTTTAACACCAAAACAGACATCTTTAGAAGATCAAAGTATTTAATTTTACCAATTAATTGTGCAACTATTCTTCCCGTCCATAAACATGCTAATTGTGTTTTTACATATGGAATAGGTTCTTGCAAAGTTGTGTCAACCTTTAGGGCAAGCCACCCCAAGATAGGGTGCCAATGTGTTAAATTACTTTGTTTTGCGACTACGTATTGTTGACACGCCTCCAACATTTTTGTTACAACAAACTACAACATTTTATAAAAAGTTACAATTGATTTTATAAACTACATAAAAATTACGTTCTCGATAATAAATCTGTACCGTAAAAGAAGGAAAATATAGCTCTCTCAGTACTTCCTCTCTTTCAATATTGGCCAATTGTATTAAATTGGCTAGTAAACACAATGCATAGCTACCTTCTAAAGCGTTAAAAACTATTCTCAAATTTTGCTCCAAATTTAACAACTCCAAACTTCGCGCGAACAAATTGCAAGTAATAAAGGATGAACTACACTAGAAATATATTATAAAAATCAATATGCAATGTAAGATGAAATTTTAATTAAAATGTTCCTTTCAACGTACCACAGATGATATACTATTTAGATGATAGACCAAAGCAGGTACACTAAAAATGTTAATTAAAAATAGAGATACCAATTTGTCTGACATTTGAGAAGAAATTAGGGGCCCCAATGCCAATGTAACTACTGCTGAAAGTGCGATTGGTTTCAAAGCAATTTCCACCCTACCCAATCCCTTCAATAAAAAAGCCTAAAACAAAAAGGATAAATTAGGAAATAAAACATCAACTATATTTCTTCTATTAAAAAAAAATGCAACTTATTTCTTGATGAAAAGAGCAGCATTCTCTTGGAAGAACCGTTATTAAAAATATAATCACCTGCATAATGGGATAGAACCCATTATTGACTAGGTGGCCCATTATATTTGCACAGAGCCGATTCATGCCAACCCTTAGTTTCTCCATACCCCCCACTTTCAAAATCGCCCATGTTCTTGATGATGTAAAACTAACTAACATGTGCAACCTCAAATGGATGGATATATGATCGCATACTCTTTCCGGCTTAAGATTCTCTAAACCAGTTAGACAATAAAGTAATAATGTTTTCATTTGCATTATCCATGATTTGTAGTGATCTTTGTTCAGTACAAGTCCCACATACGATGTCTCTGGGGACTCTGAATCAAGAGTCCATACTAAATATCTAAAACATTATTTTCTGTAAATGTTTTCGTTGCTTTTTATGCTTTATGATTATTTTGTTCGTATACGTAAGAAACTCCACTATGCACTCTTGTATGTACATACCTACATAATTTTTCTATTCTTTCTTGATCCCTTTCTTTTTTATATACATACAAAAATTTAGAAATAATCTTGTACATGTGCAAAGCAGGTTTCAGTTCTATATTAATTTCTGTACCGCCATCATTGAGAAAATTTGTATCAAATTCTTCTCTGAAAATAATATACCTCGTTTAAGTATATTAAATTTATAGTAACTAAAACACTTTGCAACAAAACAACACAAGTTCCAAGTATTTCGGCAGTCCGATACAAAATTGACGAGCGTGTAAATAAATAATTATCGGCAATCGATTAACGATAAAACTGCTCTGTTTACAATAAACAATAAATAATTGATGCGTTATATATGTATATGTAAGTATCGTAAGAGAGGAACAGGGTCATAAACGTGATTCAATAACAGGAAAACTCACAATATTCTTTTACGGGTCAACCATCCTCTAACATAAGCTTGAATTAAGGTGACAGCAGCTTCTCTATCTTTCTCATGAGCTCTTTCCTCTCTAGCGGCCTTCGTTTGTTGAAGGAAGCTGTCTTTTGACGACTCCTCGGCTTTAAACATCCTGGATTTACCGCGAGTGCCCGCTAAGCACTAAATTATGCTAATGGCAAAACATTGTCAGCTGGTCATCCGTGGTTACTAGTTGATACCGTGATACAACCACCCACTAGAAAATCATCCTTTACAGTGGTGTATGTCACGTTGATTTCATTCGAGGAATAATCACTCTAACCGATCGGCAGCGATTGCCACTCGCCACGCGTTTCTCACTGTCACATAATCCGCGTATACCACCGAATGACAGCCAACTACGACGGCCATTGTTATTAATTTGATTCGAGGCTGGATATTGAGGACAAAGGATATTAGGTTAGGTTAAAAAGCACGTGACTAGTGGCGCCATAAGATCAACGAAGTAAATTATCGAATTCGATTCTTATGGTGTGCTTTACTTTTTCTGTTCGATATCAACGAATTTAGAATTTCATCAAACGTACGTAGATTATGAGACAGTGGAATAAAATCAGCTTCATTTTTCTACTCGGAACAAATTGTATTTCAGTTTTGAAAGGTATGTAGTCTAAGTAGAGTTATACGACGCTCAAGAAACTTTGTTATACATTTTTTTTTTTTTTTTTTTTTTCATAAAAATAATTGCTTATATAGTGTTAATTTTATAATACCATGTACTGCTATTTGACATTTGTACTTTGTTTTACAAGATATCGGGAACGAAATCATTAACGATTAACGACATCCATACGCTTAGACTTCTTAAATCTTTTCATGCACGGAATAAATGTAATGTCTATTTGGTTGCTTTCTGTAGGATTTCAAGACGTTTAAGGTTAAAAAAAAATTTATAAAACATTATCGTTGTGCTAGGAATTTGAAGTCTAATCTTAAGATCGGACTAAGAAATCTCGAAAATGAGTGTAACACTTTGGTTATCAATATCTTTCAGCCACTCATTTTGGTGTAAGATATTAACAAGCGATTAAATTTAATTCTTCGACCAAAATAGATAGCCTAAAAACAGTATTAGTATCCGCGAGGATATTTTAATTTCTAAGACTTATGACAATCTTAACAAATATCTACAAAAGACACGCACAAATTCATTCGCTGCAATGTTACTTGCTCATCATCATTTTTGTCTAGAATTCTTTTAAAGAATTCGCGAGTGAAAATATTAAATCTGAATCAAATAATTTTCTTGATAAAAGCATTTGTCATAGTCACTTGTAATAAACTTATAGTACAGGTTCTAATTTAAATTGTTCTTAAATTATTGTGCTTTTGTTACTATGCATTCAAGGTAGTCCATAAAGTTTTAATGTTCTGTCCATACTAGTAGAAGCTATGTACTGTGCATGTTTTCCAAAACGAACACCGGTTGCAGCGGCTGTGTGATCATTAAGAACTTTCAGTTCTTGCCACTGTTTGCACAAGTATACCCTGAAAACGAATTAAATGAAAATAAATAAATAAAAAAATTACTACGCGTTTTTAAGTACGATTCTTACCTCACGTCTGTGCCAGCTACTGCTAGATATGTTCCACTTTGATCAAAGCAAATATCTTTGACTTCATACGATTCTTCTAATTGAAGTGTTTTAAAATTCTTCAATTTACGCAAATCCCAAAGTTTTACGCACGAATCCTCAGCGGCTGTAGCTAAGTAATAACCATTCTCGGAGAAACTAATCGCCGTAATTGGTCCCGAATGACCCGGGAAATTAGCTACATTCGACTGCTCTTTCAAATCCCAAATCTTCACTTGAGAATCTGCAGTACCAGTACCGAAAATCAATCCGTCAGGATGGAACTGCGCTGTAGTAAGGGGTTGGCTAACTTGGCCAGCAACCTATTACAGGGATAAAGTGTAAAACATGCTCGCTGACTATTTAACACGAGATACATCTATGGTAAATTGTAGACACCTTAGTTAATAATCTGCCAGTACGTATGTCCGAAAACGCCCAATGCTGATCTAACGACGAGCTTAATAAATAATCGCCTGTTGGATGTAAAGATAGTCCAGTTACAGGAGCATCGTGAGCTTTCAACAACAATGTTGTCTGACTAGTTCCGACATTCCATACTCGTATTGTGGTATCAGGCGATGCGGTCATTACTATATCTTCTTCTGGATGATAAATTACACGAGTAACCTGAATAAGATTAAAACGGAATTTATAGAGATGAAAGGAGTTCGCACATATGCAAAATAATATAAACAATTTATACTTTTTTGGTGTGTCCTTTCAGTATTGCAACAACTTGTTCTGTATCTTTGTTAAATACTGTAGCACTTTTATCAGCACCACCTGTTAAAATCTTGCTAGTATCTGCACTGTGTATATCTAGTGCAAGTATTCCAGGCACACTAGCAGAATGGAGACCCTTGAACAATTAACGATTGAAACAATGTGCTCAACATTTTGTTAGGCAACTATTAACTCTCCAACCGAGGGGAACGTTTCTCTATTTCTACGTTGAATTTATTTTAAATTCTTCCGATACTTTCGCCGCGATCGTCGAGTCTCAACTGACGTCGAAGACATTGTCAGAGCCACAGTCTTAGAAGAGAATCGCCCGCGGCTGGAGGGTTAAGGACTATGAAAAGCAATATTACAGGATGAGATGCAAGCGTCTGAAACGCGCGAATACTATCTTGTGGAAGCAAATCTTCAGGAACTGAACGTCCGCGACGTTTTCGTTCCTGAGTGAGCACTGTAGCTCTTTCTTGAAGCTTTTGTATCACATCATCGGTAATACCAGCTTGTTCCATGGGCTGAGCAGCAGTGCCACCAGCTTCAACAGCAACAGCCTGCAGTAAAATAATTTGTTATTTTATGCACTGGAAATAACACATTTATAAGATTAGTATATATTTTTCATACAGGTTGTGGAATAGTAGTAGCTTGGACAATTCCAGCCTGTGGTTTCAAAGTAGCCAAAGCTTCTCTGGCAGCTGTTACTTCTTTTGTCAATCTAGCAATTACACGGCATGCTGCATCATGTTGGTATAGAGCATGAGATAATTCTTGTCGGGCTGTCTGAAGTTGTTGCCTAAGGGTAAATGAGTGTAACATTACAGCATCCCATTCGTCTTGTAGAATCTTTAAAATAGCTGGAATGGATGTGGCACTTGGTGGTTTAGGCTTAACTATTGGAGTGGCTGTAAAGAAATGAAAACAAATGTTACACAAAGTTGAGTAATGCTGAACTAAAAAAAAACCATAGAGTAACATACTTTTAATGTCGATAAGTTGATCAATAGCCAACTCCTTTCCAGTAATAGGATCCACCCCATTCTCTGTTACATACTTTTCAATTAAACGTCTTTCAAATATAGAGCCTGATACAGGAGATACGACCGGGTGTTCCGGAACTTCATTAGAAACTGAAAATATATTTATTTGTCTAAGAGATTGGCGGCAATGCGAAACATGTTGGGTTATGTTTAGTAAGTGCCGGTACGAATCATAACTTTTGTCACGAAAACTAATAGTTTAAATTGCATCTTATTATCTAAGATTACTGATAGAGATTTCGTACAAATATCTATACTTTTAATTAAGAACCACTGATAGAAAAACGAAAAACTTACTCGCACAAGAAAGCGCCATTTTCAGACATAGGATACGTGATCACTGCGCATGGTGTTTGAGTCTGTTTGAGTCGATTAACTACTATAAATTTCAGTATAAATTTAAATAAGTACGCATAGTACGTTTCGAACAATTGAAAATTTAAACCTATAAGTTAGATTGTAAATATTGAAAAGTGTTTAAATGATACATTTTATAAACATAATTTATAAAATGGGTGTAATATCCATAAAATTATTTTAATAAGAAATAAATATTTATGAAAAATATCCTTTTATATATTCCTTTAAGGGAACCATACTTTCAATGTACTTGTATCGAAAGTATTAAAAATTCCTAGTAATTTTTCACAAAAAAAACAGCATTATCGAAAAAATGATGATACATGTGCGACTTCCGTTTTAGTGAAGTAAACATGGCTCCTTCAGTTGGTTGCATCTATTTTCTTGTGCTTATTTTTGCAATTTCAAACGTCAACTCGTCGAATGATTATTATACATCTGCGATAGTCGAGGTACTTAATTTATATGTTTTTATTATCGTAAACTTTAATACATCGATACGTCATACTTTTATGTTAAATTACAGTAGTTCAAAGTATTAAAAAATATTTCCAGAGCTGCAGTGGATGTAGACTGAATTGGCTTCCAGACGTGAAAAACTTCATCTTCGAGGACTTGCCTAATTAGTATCCTTAATTAGAAATTATTTAAATATCATACATATTCTCGTAATTCATATAATTGTTTAGCAAATGCATATTGTTGGTGAAATATTTACTCTTTTATTTCAAATTTATATGATTTGTTTATTTGCCATACAGGACAAGTCAATTATTCTTATATAAGATTCATAATCATACACTATACGTGTACTTGATTTCTGAAACCTTCATTCTGTAATTATACCTGAAAATCCATATATGCAGGCTATAATAAGATGTTCCATAATAACAAAATAATGAGAGTCCCATAAGAAACACATGTTACTCAAGTGACTAACATTGAATATACCATAATATAAAATTTTATTGACATAAATCCTTACAGTATATTGTAGCAATAAAGTTGAATTTAAACATATTCGAGGAGCAGAGCCAGAACTTGTTCTCTTTGATAGACATAATGAGGTATGGTATAATTGTTCAACATGCATTACATATTACAAAATAATCTCATATTTTTCAGGAAGTGGAAAGATTACCCTTATCAAGATTAACTAGAGAGGAGTGCAATAATTTATTAATAACTAAGGGTTTTACAAAAAAGGCAATAAAGGATGAGATGTAAAAAATAAAATCTATCATAGATACATTCGGTGTCAGAGCAAATAAATATTTGTAATTTTGGGAAATCACTTTACAATGTTTATTAAAGGATGAGGTATGTTGCTAATTATGTCTCCATTATAAACTGATTTATTCTGTTTTGTTAATGAAACTGGAATTGGCAAATCAACTGTCTCCAAATTTTAAAGGTTTACATATAAAATCATATTTTACTGTAATGCATAATATTTTTTGATCTGTCTGCTTTTGGATGTACAGATTTTATTTTTGAAATTACATTTTATCCTAATAAATTAATTAATATTAATCGGATAAATAGTGTATTTCTGAGTTACAGCAATTTCAAATTTTAGTAAATAATATAATGGAAATAGTAGAATAGATCAAAGTACCAAGTTTAGATTTTGATCAGATCTAGCTGCAAAATAAATTTCATCTATTAACAAATTAAGCAAGTGCTATTTTGCTTTAAAATTTCACTGATTTTAGATGTTCCAACATTTTAATAAAAAATATAGATATAATCATTGATGTGGTGTAACTTTTAGCTTACTGTAAATAAAAGTAAAATAATTTAATCTTACGGTAGCTTCTAATACAATTGAAACTTATGTAGAAAAGTATCATTTACTTATGCATATTGTTTGTGATCTGCACAGTATTATTCTCTTTTATTGTAACAAACATTTATTTTTGTAAACATTACGCGAAAAATAGAAAAAACGGAGAAGGTTATGTAATAAGAATAGTAACGATCAAGAACAGATTTCTGAAACACCTATGATTTAAATTTCTGTAATATATTTGTCTATGTTTAAATATTGTTACAAAATACTTCGATCAAATTGTGTTATTTAATATATGTGCTTATGATCTTTAATAAATAATTTGATTTAATATTTGCACAATTTTATTTCTTTGACATTGATGTTATTTTTCTTTGTAAGATTAAACAGGTTTTTACGAATATAGATATAGAGGGGTAAAAAATTGTATGAAATAAACAATATTCATAATTTTATTTGAAGTTTATTCTAGCAATTATATATTAAATAAACTTGTAAGGCAATTTACAATGTCTGACTTTCAAAGGAATTACAAATCGTATTTATTAAATAACATTAGCAATATAGTTTTAATACGAAATATTTCTTTACAAGATTTAATAACGTTCATATACTTGTAAGAACTATACGTGGAATGTCAATTTACCTCCATTTTAATAACTTATTTAATATCGGATTAAAATGTAAATTATTGTAGTTACCTTTTTCAATTATAGAACATAATTTATTATTTTGTAATTACCTTTTTTTTTTATTTTCAGAACCATAATGTAAATAAAAACGAAAAAAATTAAAAACTATGTTTATGTTATTAACCTTTCTTTCATTTGCATCTAGTATCAATTTGACTTATATATGCAGATTATATACACTGTTTATATTAGCAGTTTGTTAAACCTGCATAGGTCCATGTTAATATAATAAAACTATGTTTGTTAGGTTTTTGCAAAAAACCTGTTATGTATGTTCTTTGTTGTATAGGTAATATCTTACATATCTAAACATGATATATTTATACATATATGTATATACATAAATATAAGAGTAGGTTTCAGATTTTCAGAAATCATAAAAACGACCTGCTTGAATACGTATGTTTAGCAAAAGTATAATAATAAGGAGACAACCTACGTCTGTTTTACATTGCCAATAAGGACATTAATAGTGTTGTGTTTAGATATAAAATTTATTCTTCTCTTCTTATGATCACAAAAGATTAAAAATAAAATGTATGTACATGTAAAGATGTTATAGCTACAACAATTAAATCCCGTTTGTTTATTCAAGCAGGTGTAGTTACTACATCGAGTAACAACGATTGCACAAACGGGGAAAGATTGATGTATTAATAAAAATGTAATGAGTCGATCTAACAAATAGATAGGATTACAAAATATGGAGCAAGAAGAATGGTCGAACAAAAATATTATGCCATCAGAAGCCAACACATGAATACGAATGCCACCAACAGAAACACCTTTGAAAGGAATTGCTCTTCCACATACTGAGGTGTTCCCCTAGGAGCTATACAAAGAAGAATAATTAAATTCTAGCAGTTCTCAAGCAATTTTAAATAAATATCCGGCCATGTAGGGTGTTTTACCTGCACCAGGTCGTGTTTCCCCAAAATTGAAAGTTGATGTGAAAAATGCAAATGGAAATGTTCCAATACCAAATGACATATAAGAACCATCTCCAAACCCTAAATTAAAAAATCCAATATTGTTTTCAGATTCTGTCCTTTGCCCAGCAGGACGCGGTGGAACATTATTCCTAAAATAACATATAACATAATCTATGGTGTATTATTATACAGGTATCCCTCGAGTCACGCGGTCAATTGGTTCCGCGTAAATCGAGACTCAGAATTAGTCTCTGAAATATATACAAACTATTGTGAAATACCTATTATCTTTTTTATTTAAAAACATTCATCTATAATTACATATATACTCTGTGTTTAAATAAAATTGCTGCAAAACCGCGTAACATAAGTACTCGCGTAACTCGAGCATTGCCGCAATTTTTTTCCGCGTAACTCGAGGGATACCTATATTCCTGAAATGTAATATATTTATATAACAAAATGTACCTCGGATCTTCATGCTTTGTAGCTCCACGTCCATACAAGGGAATGACCTTACTTTTACTGATTGCAGCTTTACATACAGGACACTTTTGTCTTATTGGACGGGTCTGTAGCCACTGGTACAAGCAAGGCCAACTGCATGTATAATTTTTGATTAACATTATATTAATTTGAATAATGATACAAACTCATCTTATACCAAATAGTGTCTTACCAATATAAGTGCCCACACATGCTGATAACCGCATCTTTTGCGGTATCAAGACAAATGTTGCACTCAAATATTCGATTATCCTTTTCATTATCCTCTGTCGCAGAATCCAATGGTTTTGAAGGACCTGCCTCTTCCTTCATAGTGCTCATGATGAAAAACTTTTCGATAAAATAGATCAAATATTGTGATTCTCCGATGCAAACATATGCAATATAAATTATAAAATGAAATAAAGAAATTTCTGTATGTAAAAGCACTATTCAAAGAACGTACGGTATATTAATCATGAAAAAAAAAGAATACAGAAATTTCCGAATATAAAAGTAAAAGTATTACTTAATTTTTATTATTGCATAGAGTAATGATAACGGGATAAAAGTTTGTACGATAAATTGGTTTTTTATCACTTGACAGTGACGACATTATCGCGATTGAAAAAACAACTTTCGGAAAACAATATGACAATCTGTGCGAACGACAGTCGTAAACGTAAATGTCAAATCCCGCTAAAGGTTAAGATTGTATATATTCAAAGGAAAATATACAATTTCTGTTCACGATCATTTGATATCGTATAGTTCGAATTCATTTCCATTTTCTGACGCATTATGTGTCTACAAGCAATATCGGAAGTCGTATGTTCACGACAAAAAGCGTAGAAGTAACAACTAGGTAGGTAGTAGAAGTAAAAGTAATATCGATATGTTTCGTACATTTCCTTCGAAGGTATCGATGCAACTGACGATCTGTCACGTACGGGGCAGCCACTTTATCAAAATATTAGCCAAAAATTGAGCAACGATCGAAGTTCATCGAGTAATGTTCGGCAGGCAAAGATCGCGAGCCCCCATCAAAATACGAATCGAGCAGTGTCTGCCATTGCTGACATAATTCGTGTCACTTACTTTAGTCTTTTGACTGCGGGGCCCCCCTTATCGGTGCAATCCTTCCACAAACTCGGTATTCGTTTCAAAAGTGATCGGACGTATCACGCACACCACTATCGCAATTGCGTAAGTGCCGTCAAACGATTTTCATGATTTTTTGCGAAACGGATGTTCGGAATAACACGTAAGAGATTCGACGACGAAGTGTCAGAGCTTATCTACCGTAATGTTATCGTTAACAATCGTTTGTACGAACTTTACATGCTTGCACGTTTTATTTTTTTATCAGACGTGTCCTCGACTACCGTTACAGTTGCCGAGTCGCGATTTTAACACAATTACTTAAAACCATCACTTGATTAACGCTGTACCGTAGCTGTAGACGGTTTTGTCTTTTATCGACTGGTCGCGGGACACGATTCGAGCAACTTCTCCGTCGTTTCGACAGAGTACACTATCGGTGCAGTGCAATGCATTTTGTATGCGTTTGAATTCTGTAAATTTAGTCGGGTAACATAATTTTGATTCATTCTGTCCATAGTAATCATTCGATTGTATCCGTATTGAGCATAAACAGTCAATTTCATTGTATATCCATCGAAAGTACTGCGAGATGTCGACGAAATTGCGGTTATACTAAAATTGATTGCTACATCACCATGGAGTTAAAGACAACAGTACTGTTTGATACGTTCGTTTTTGACACGGGCTGAAACGTTTGAGATAAAGTAAAAATGTTCAGAATATATGGAAAGTAAAATGGATAAGTGAAATTGCGTATCACACACGTTATATACAGTATTATTTATATCGATTTGATACGTCGATAGTAATTTATCGTCAGAAACACTTAATCCCAGGTATTAATAACACTATCTATCTATCTTAAACCTCAATCTATTTTATAAAGAAAAGCACACGACATGTAAGAATTTCTTTTCAGCATGAAAGCGGACGAAATAGGTCTCCTTGAATTGACTCCCTCGAATAAGTTCGAAAGTCCTAGCTCCTCGAAATTAAAGCTCAGTTCGATAGGACGATCGCGCAAGACTGCTGGCAAGAACGTAACCTCAATTCTTCTGCAGCAACGCCAAGAAATCCGTGTAACGGACAATGACGTTGACGTCACGCCAAAATTACTGACCCACCCTATGTTCAGTTCGATCGACGAACATCAGGTGACTGCATTCGAGGCGATCGGTTTGTCTCAAACAGGCAGCGTGGGGCAATTAATGTCTTCCATGTCCGCTTTGGGCAGTCTGAAAAGAAGCTCATCCATGGTTATCAGAACGTCATCGATGCCTCTTAGCGTGATAATAGCGGATGACTCGCAATTTGAAAGTTTCTGGGCCACTCAAGTGGAAGATTTACCCGATGACGACGTAGACAAAGCTCCCCCCCAATTTTATTTGCCTAGGTAATTTGAAAATCTAAATAATTATCCATCAGCTGTGATATGCATCTGACAAAGAGATGTGAAAGTGGGGGAAGTAACCTTGATAGGCTAATTTATGCTACCTCGAGCGTAACAACGAGACCATAGTATCGAAATAATTAATAATACAAATAAACGTTATTAATTCGTATATAACCTAACCTAACCCAACCTTGGGAAAAATTTTAATGGAAGATTCTAGAGGCCAAAAATTAAGAAATTAAAAAATTTCAAATTGTTCTAAAAAAATTATTTTTAGTTGTAGGAGTCAATTACAATCATTTTTGGTGAATACATATACCCCCGAAATCCTACCCATTTTCTAGAAAAAAATTCGAGAAGGTGTGAAATTTTTCGACAAAATTAAAAAATTTCAAATCGTTCTAAAAAAATTATTTTTAGTTGCAGGAGTCAATTACAATCATTTTTGGTGAATAGATATACCCCCGAAATCCTACCCATTTTCTAGAAAAAAATTCGAGAAGGTGTGAAATTTTTCGACAAAATTAAAAAATTTCAAATTGTTCTAAAAAAATTATTTTTAGTTGCAGGAGTCAATTAGAATCATTTTTGGTGAATACACATACACCCGAAATCCTGCCCATTTTCGAGAAAAAAAATTCAATACGTGCGGATCTTTGAACGTTAATAACTTTTTAACGAAGCCTCCATCAACAAATTGGTATTCTTGATTTTCGTCTTATTCTGGCCTCTAGAATCTTTCATTAAAATTTTTCCCAGGGGTGACTGAACACTCTGTATATTAATCATACATATTTTTGTTATTCTATCTATTCAGTATAGATCCAAACATTTTTCTCACTCGACCGGAAACCGTGACATTGATCCTGAAGGAGACGGAAACGTTTTTCATTTTCGAGATGCAGCCACGCACGGGCGACTTACGGACGCCAGAGGGTACGGCGATTAAGGAAGAAAACGAGAATTACGAATACAAAACGGTCGGGCCCGGATCGAACAGAAAATTAGTAGATGCCGAAACCCAGTGCATACAAGTTCTCACAAAATCGCGGGGCACGTATCTCGGCAGAAGAATGCGTAGAAATCGGGGTATGCTCATGAATAATTGGGTCTTCCACGACACTTTCGCTGCACCTGAAATGATGACCGAAAGGGGTGGTCTGCTTATTGTACACACGAAGGAATCTATGGAGCAAATGTGGCAGGCAGAGGTTTGCACTGTTACACTATTACAATTCTTTCTATTCTTTTACAGGCATACGTGGTCTCATACTGATATAATTTTTAACTCGTAGGAAGTAAAATCCAAACTGCCACAGGTGGATACGCAGAAGAAACCCATAACTCCGGAAGAAGAGTTAGCGTACATATTCAACCATGTGAATTTCCTGAATGCCGTGCACATAATGGAGCGTATAATATCGAACAATATTTTCATTCACGCGCAAAAACGTTTCATCGGCCTGATCAAGCAGGACCCCTGCAGCCTCGATTTAGAGTTCACGTACAGTTTGGATCTACTCTGGACCTATACCTTCGAAACGTGCAGCGGCAGACCAGTGTCCTCCTTTCGTTGGAGTTACATCAATAAGAATATTCTGGCTGTGGGATACGGGGCACGGGCGAATTCAGAAACGAAAGACGGACTGGTGTTGATATGGAACGCAAAGAATCCTGATGTACCGGGTCGTGCGTACCCCTTCGACGTTCCGGTGTCGGACCTTGATTGGAGCCGCGATCGACCAAATTTGCTCGCTATTGGCTTCTACGATGGTCAGATCAAGGTGATCGACGTGAGCATTAATTACGTAAACGTGATACGACAGAGCGAGAGGACCACGTCTCCCTCCAGTTCGCCACAGTGGCAGGTTCAATGGTGGGCCGGTGACGAGCAGTTCGCCTACCAGGAACAGATTTACACCTGCGACCAGGACGGTCACATATTCTGCTATCGATACGTCGAGGATTTTATGTCGACGACGATGATGAGGGTGTTCAGGATAGAGGGTACGTTACCGGGAGTTAGCAGAACTTCCCATTGTAACGTTTACGACACGTCGATCAACCGAAGTCCTGGTACGTTGGTGCTCCGTAGACATCCCACTTTGAGTACCATCTATTTCGTCGGCTCTGACGAGGGTTGCATCTACAAATGCTCGACGAATTATCTGTACCAGCATATAGAGAGCTTTCTAGCGCACGATGGGCCGATCTACTCGATGCTATTCTCTCCGTTCTGTCCGAAAATCTTTTTGACCTGCGGCGCCGATTGGTGCACGCGAATCTGGGCCGAAGGGCTCACGGAACCGTTGATCACCCTGTCCACGACTATGGCCTGTGTTCGGTACGCGGTATGGTCGCCCACGCATTCCACGATCATCGCGAATATCGTCAACAACGAGATTTGCATTTGGGACATTAAAAGAAAGACCTACATCCCGTCATCCGTGACTACATCACCCACCAACGCAAGACTGGTCACGCTCGACTTCACTTCAGATGGTAACCAGGTAGTGACGGGAAACATAGAAGGTGACGTGTATGTTCACAACTTGGAGGGAATGCCGTTTCCGCCGTACAATCAGAAACAGGTGTTGATCGAGTCCATCGTGAAAGCCTTAGTCACGAAACCGGCTATTCTGAAAAACCTGAAGAAACTTGGCCCGCCATTTTCCCAATAAAACACAACCCATTTCAGCCCATATTTTCAAAGTAAGTGACCTTCAAATTTTAATAATATCTCCCCCTCGAATTCTTTGTATATGTATAATTACGCTTAATTATCCATTCGATCCCGAGCTCGTGATACAATGAAAGGATAGAATGCAAATTGTGAAAGCTATTAACAGAGTTGAGAAAATTTTATCCACGGGGTTAGGTTAGGTTTGAAAATTTATATCGTTCGTAAATTAATTTCCGTTTATCGAAATCCATTAACAGTCGTCCAGGCGAGCGAGGTCGCGAGCAAAGGCTAGTTTACGGATCGAAAATTATTGTCGAAAGTTTGCCCAACTCTGGCTAATAGGGAGGCGAGAGTTCGAACGCGGGAAGAAAAGCGAACAACGGTTAAATCATATTACTTTATGCTACTCGTAATCACGCCACGCGAGGAACCATCGCGCCTACATCGTCGCGTAATTTCCATCGTAAAGCGAGCGTCGAGATTATCTTCGTTCGAGTTTCAATAAACGGCCGGCCGCGCGACACCGTAGCCCCGTGCTCGTCCCGGGGGCCTCGAGTCAGTCACGTCGTTACGCGGAACAGATATGGGATTTTAAACTTCTTTATCGACCGTGGAGCCGCGGGCAAAATCCAGCACGTGGGGACCCCTTTCGGTCCCCCGAAGCGAAGCGTGGCCCGAGGCCTCGCGTGATTCGCGCAAAGGACGGAAAGCAAAGCGACCATTTCGATTCAGGATGGAACTCCGGTGCCGGGGCCCACTCTGAGGCCTGGTAGGCAGGCGAGTCGGCACGGATGGCTGGCTGGGTTGCTCGGAGGAGTTGCAGGAGAGTGCCATGGTAGAGGGGCTTCCATGGCTGCTGCCGCTCGCGGGCACGAACCGCGCTACCGCCGTCAGCAGGCAGTCTTATTACGCCCGCACTCAACTACGCGAACTAAGTACTCTTCTTAGGCCGGGCAAACGTCGCGAATAACAATCGCGTGTTGGCCTACGCGAATCGGACGCACCTCGAACCGGTGCACGTTCTACGCCACGAGTCTCGTACGTCTCGCGAAGGGTTACGCGTCTCTGTATTGGTCACGCGTGCTCGCTGCATCCCGCGGCGGCTCGTTCTTTTCGAAGCGACGAAATCGATCTCGGAATAAATTAGCGAATCGAGCGGGGAGGCGGCGAGGATCCCTCCAGTTCGATTGGCCGGCGAGGATCTGCTGCTCGGTCAGAGGTAACTTTAGAACGTTTCTTTATTCGATTTGTCGGGTCGATAAAGCGTGTGCTTGCACGGAGATACATTTCTTCGATATTCGTTTCTCGTTGCGTGCACGTACGTTCGCGCAAGGATCTAATTTCCCCGTTTTGTCTTGCTCGTCCCGCGAACGTTAACGTCGATGCATTCGTTTGTTCTCGTCTGAAAATTTTGCTGCATGTAACGTTTCAATGGATCTAGAAAGAATGAAATCGTTAACGTTCCTGGATTGGGCGAAAACGTTTCGCCGTGACGCACCAGTCAAAACAGTGACGTTGCTCCCTCGGGCGTTAATTTGACGAATCAAAATTCGAGAAATTCACTTGACCTGGAATGCCTAACTTCACTTAGGAGGTGCGAGACGGAACGCGGGTGCGTGAATTCGGTGTGATAAATGTAGAAGAACGGACGTCCCTATCGTCCACGTTGACGATTAGTTTCGTTTTCTTGGTAGTAGAATCACGTTGGCGTTAACATCGACGGTCATTACGTTGTTTGTCGCGCGCCAAGAATTCGCGTCCACGCATACCGAGCTGTCACGATTACCGCGTGTCACGAATTCATCGTATATTTTGATCGCCCGGAACAGGCGTGCTTGGCTTCAACTAATTCTACGTCGGACAATCGGCTGTACCACATCGTAAAGAGTAGGACGACTTTAAGTATCTTACGAACGGTTCCACAACTTCAAAAATTCATAGCTCGAATTGTTTAAGGTTCAGACACAAGATTTTACGATCGAATTTAAACGAGAATGTAGGTTACAATGCAAGTATTTCATCGTTTTAAAGTTCAGAAAATTCTAACGCCAGCACGAGGCGTCTAATTTTTTCCCTCCAAAATGGTGGACGACGGATAGTCGGAAATAGGAAGAGGGCGGGATAGTCGATGCGATTTTTCTCGAACATTTACGCGGGAAAAAAATTATTCGTCAAAACTATCGAAAGACGTTGGTATAAACTCAATTCTTGTCACGAACTTTAATAAGATTCGAACACCGACGAGTATAAAAACGTCGTATCGTGACAGATTCGGTTGGGGGGGGGAAAAAAATCGTGTCGCTTTGGTATCTCCATGCAAACAAGCTTGATGGCCACTTTCGTTAAAAATCAGTAGAGGTCACCGCCAGCCAATCGGCGTTAATTGCTCCTCTATACATCGTGTACTTGATTCCTGTCAACTGTTTGTCGAAGGTCGCTGCATCGAATCGACCGTATTATATTTGGATCCAGTCCCAATCTCCAACGTGAACGGGGACGCAGTCAGTGTGAAGACTGCTTAATAGCGAGGAACATGTGCAACCAGGGAATAGTGGCGAAGCCGATGTTGCCGGGGCACGAGCTACACTGTGACCACTCTGTTCTCGACGAACCCTGACCGATTCCACGTTCGTCTCGCTCCAGCTGACCGCCGACACCGGGACGAAACCAGAAACGCGACGCGGTGAACACGTTCTTCCGAAAATCGTGCACGGTTTATCGCGGGACACGCGGTACGGTTAGATCGGTAAAAGTGTTGTTTCGAGTTATCGCGTACGGTGTATAGACCGAGAGTCTTTGAGGAGCGGTGTGTTCGCGAAATTACACGTTTCCACGTACATTCGGTACGCTATGAACATCAACGTTCTCGGATGTAACGGGTGGTTCGCAAGTAAGTGTTCATATTCTCTATTACGCTTTAAATTTTTTTGCAACGATCTTTTCCCGATCGAGAAACATCGTTTCCTTTGTATTTATGCATGATTAAAAAGAAACGAAAACGCGACATCTGCGCTGCTACTTTTCGAACGTAGATGCAGCCAGCGTTCAACTGCTTGTAGTAGACAAGATAAAGATGTACACTAATGTGATGTTCTGAATGGTGTAGAATCCTCTAAATATAAACTTTTGAATCTAGCGCCACATTCGTTAAATCGAATTAACCTTTTCGACCATTCCGACGACGCGTTCGACAAAAAGTAAACAAACAGTGGCAATCGTGGTAGGAGGTTATGTAACCACGTACACGCAACTTGTCGCGACACTAACCGTATACAGACATTACGTTCGTTGCACTGTTGTAATAATTAAGCAACTTCTACACAACAGTGATTATAATCACTTTACAGCTTATAATATATCGGATCTAGATAGATTCTGCGATCGTTATTATGATAACGAAGAATCAAAGAACTGATCTCACGGTAGACCGAAGGTTTTTCATACAGAACCGACGAGTTTGGCAACGAGTTTTATTCATGAATGACGAATAAGGATTTCAGATTTATTCGTAAACCAACTTTCGCCTGCTGTTTCGATGTCGGTTTAAAATCGATCGAACGAAACACGACGAGAAGTTAGTTAACAAACGAATTCAAACTTGTGTTCTTCGATAAAGTGCTCCCAGTTGAGGTTAGGAAGCGTCGTAACGAAAAAAATGGAGGTTCGAAAATCCCGCCTCTTCTACGTACTCGTTGTTGGTCCATAGACGGACGCTGTTCTTCGACCCTCGATGTCAGGCGTCTAATTAACATTTTTCTCCCCAACTAACGGGTCATTGTCGCTTCGATGCACGTAACAAAGTGCTTATCTTGAGCGGCCGCGCGCCGCGTCCGTGTAACCCAATTAACGTTTCCAATTATACGTTTTAGGGGAAGATTAACGAGCCTGGAAGTGTAACGAAGCCTGTTTCGCCCGATATTCGAGCCGGCCTGTTCGGCGTGAAACGCTTTCGTGCGCTTAATTGCGATCGGAGATCAATCTGAAATAGGGCCCCGCGAATCGACCGCCGAATGCACATAATGCACTTGTTATCTGCGTCGGCAGTTCCCACTCCTCCTCGTCCTCATAAAGCTTTATCTGTAATGGCCTCCGCCTATTGGTCTAATCGCGATCATGCATCATGCTTCTCTATCTTCATCTAATTCCACGTCGTTGGATGCAACGGTGCGATCTGCACGCGGTGCAGCCGCATTCTTTCACCGTCGTTTCTGGATATTCCTCACCACGTGGTCTTTCGAAGTTATCCCCCTCCCCTCTCCGGAACAGAAATTTTTTACCTTTTTTGGGAGGGGAAGAAATCTTAATAAAATTTTTCAACGCGTTCACTGTCCGGTTCCTCAGCGGCGTATCCAAAAGCGTGGCGCTATGACCCACATACGGGTCATGGACAGTGAACGTGTTAAATCGAATACGATTTTTAGACGAGGCTCCAACAACTTTTTCTTATAATCGTAATAAATCATTGGTAGATGCTGACTAAACAGCACGTTCGGTAAAGACCGATGTTTGAGAATTATTCGCTGTCTTTGCTCGTTAAATACAGATATTTAACCCCGATAGCAATTTGCAACGATCCACACGATCCCATGGAACGGAAATACGTCGAATTATTCATGAATATAATTTTAACTGGTTATTAGATTTATCACGATGCGACATCTTTTAACCGGGCTAAGTGTGAAAGAACGTTTCCCCGCTAGATTTATTTAGCCGTTCGAACATCGGCAGGGATACATGACATTGAGCAGAAAAAGAAAACACGATCGCGGAGAAAATGCGTGGGTTTCGTTATCAACGTGGTAATTTATGCACGCGCCACTAGTAGATTCCTGTTCGTAACGGAGTACTCTATAGAGTCATATATCATCGCGTACGCGATCGGGACTGAATAATCAATTAATACGCGGAATAAATGATTGCTCCATCAACGGAGAGACACGCATAAATCTTGCGTGTTCCTTGTCGTCCCGGTGATTATTGTTCCGTGTTCTCTTTCGAGGATATTCCCCCAATTTGTTGATTCTCTCTTGGAAAAATAGCTAGCGTTATTATCTCTCTTTCCGTCGTTCTCGAAACTTTGCTTTTCGCGCCTGAAAACCGATTCGGCTCATTGTTCTTGGTATAAGGCAACTTGTTCTCGTTTCCTATCGGTTGGCTCGCCTCTCCTCGACTTCTGCAGTGGTTCGAGGCGTTCGTAATTGATGAAATTGAATGCGATCGAGAGCTAATCATTTACACACAATTCGTACCCGCACGTGCAGGACAGGGACCGAGACAAAAGGGAGCGGAAGGCGATTCAGCCCTCGCGAAAAGATACCAGGCTGAACGTAACAGAAGCGATAATGCGGAGTCACGTCGCGAGCTAGAGAGGCGCGAGTGGAATCGGTGATCTGTGAACTACGTAGGTGTAACGAGAGGTATAATGCGCAGAAAATTGCCGACAGGCTTACGCCCTTCGCGAAACCACCGCCTTGAGATACATACTGGTGGTCCATTAAGTAGAAACCCTCGATAACCTTTATACCACGGATCTTATCTGGAAGTAATGATAGATCGGTCCGGGTGTCAGGGATTTTAATTGAAATATATGCAGTTCGTCTGGCAAATTTTTTTTTCGTAAATAAACTCCGGCTATCGCCCAGGCGAACTACAACGTATTTCAGCTCGAACAAAGTTCCTGACACTGGGTGGGAAAATGATCGATTTGGGCGTGGATCGACCGGCACGGGAAAGAGAACTAATTCCACGCGGGGCCCCGTTGTCTCGTTCGTTACGAAGCGAACGGGCCACGAGATCTCGCGGACACGGTGATACACGGTCCAGATAGCAACAAACTCGGTGAGATCTTTTTCCGTCTGGGTTACACGCTGATATTGAAATCAGCGCGCGAAGTCGAGGGGAGTCTGTTAAACACGACCGATAATAAAGGTGCTTGTTTAAGCCTGCGTATACCGTAATAGACGAGATTAAGGCGGGAAAAGGAAGGTAAAAAAAAAAGGAGGATAGCCGGTGCACGCGTTACGAGAAAGCCGCAGCACCGGGTATAAATAAGACGATAAGACCCCGTCAGCTCTGCAAGCGCTAAAGATGTACTAGATCGACGATCCGCGAACAACGTAGGCGTTGTAACGAGCTTGATAGCGTTGCCAGGGTTTTAGCTATTGTTTCCAACGGGTGTTCTTTAGTGCCTGGTCGCATCGAAGTTCAGCCTGTTCTTCCTTTTCTAGCGAAGAGAAGAGGTTTTCCAAGTTCCAACGTTGGGTGCTATTATGTACAAAGACCCAGGGATTGGTAATTGGATCGATAGATCTTTCCCAGGCACAGAGTTCGTCGCGTTTGCGTCGATCACTCTCGAGCATTGGACTTTGGATAGAATTGGCGAACAGTTTCGTTTCATAAAATAATGTCAGGACGTTTGGGATGTACCCGAGAGCAACGTAGGTGGCTCGACGGGAGCAACAACACGAGAAAACGCGAGAAGAGCCCGAGGAGCGGCAAGAAGTCGGCCACCGCAAGGAAGGAGTCATGCGATAACGCTGCATACATCTCTGCGTCGTGTCAGGACGAGATGAAGTGCACGATTAAAGATAGGTGAACACGACGCCATTGCCACTTATTCGATTGCTCGTTTGAGCATCGAATTACGTAAATCTCCTTGCGCGAACGCATAATGTTTTCACGAAAAATTCACCATCGAAAGAACCGATGGATCTTCATGATCTCATCTCTGTGATCCTGGGAAAGGACAATGGCAGAAATTTGGGAACCTACCTGGCAACGACAGCGATCTTTGAATTATTCTATCTTTCTTACCGATACAAATGTTGTCAAGACTCGAGATCTCGGCGAGCTAGTTAAAAAGCAAACTGTTAAAGTTATTCAGAGCCCGGGCGATTAATTCAACGGCGAAAAGGTTAAGCGGATCGCAAGCTGGCGGGTACGGTATCCTTGAAATCGAGGGGAATTCATCAGGCCGGTGGTCGGAGCCGTGCACGGGGCGAAACATTTTCAAGAAGCGGCCACCGGTCGCTTTACATACCCTTAAATTCCCCCCGTCGCGTGTACTTACAACCGGACATTTACGCGGGCTAGTCGTACAAGGTGCGCGGAGTGAGATATTGTTTAAAACTCGGTTGCCGGCGTGGGCGGATGGTTTGCCAGATAAAGGCAGTAAGTCATCAGCTGAAACAGGATTTATGGGCGAGGTATTACCGGTGTTTCGCTGATCGCCGCGATACGGGGCACGAACTTTCACCGGTTGCCGTGGACCCACGGTAGAGGATTTCAGGTTCACGGGTTCACGGAACGGTCGCGATCGCGTGCTCGTCCAAACGAAACTTCACCGTAGCGCGACAAGATCATATCTGGTTTTTCATCGCGACCGAGTAAGACGTTGTTAATGTAATAGCGGCCGTTTCGTTCGGGGCGAATCTGGGACGGCCGTAGCAGGATCCAGGGGATCAGATTGGAAACCCGTTTTAAGGATTCAGAAGCGAGTCGTGACCAAGACATTAGCGAAATTACTCCCCGGCTCTACGGTTCGATTCTACTCCTATCTAGATACTATTTCCTGGCGAGGGAAACGTCGCGCTATCTCGCTACTTAATTCCCGCGTCCGTCGCTTTATTTACTAGTCCCCGGGACCGACCGTCCACGCCGGTAAAAACCCATGAATGAAGACCCGACCCGGCCGTGTCCTGGCCCCCCATAACACGGAACGGCGAAAGTGTCATCGCAAGGAACCATCACCGGTGAAATTTTTAGGATCGATGTCGCATCGCTAATTCCAGGTGTCGTTGATGACTTGTTGGCTAAGCATCCAAACGGAGCAAGGCCAAAAAGAGATACATTTTTGTTCTATTCACGGTTACGCCAATGTCTCTTGGTCTT